AGGGTCACAGGGGAAGGTTATTACAGAGCGTTTGTTGGAGTGGGAGGTTGAGGTTGGCAGTGTCTGATTCTGGAGTGCTTGAAGATGTACTGTCCTGTCAGTGCTGTCATCCTGTCAGATGTACCGTTCTTTATTTATTGTGTCATTTAAAGCTGAGAAAGGTAAACTGAGCAAAAGATGGTGGTGGTCAGGGTAGCATGTTGGTGGTTTTGAATGTTAGTAATGAGACTGAAAATTCCCTGTGCAGAACTCTGCTACTTTCACAGAAGTGCTAGTTGGCTCATAAAGAGGACTGCAGCTAATAGGGGAAAATACCACTGCAAAGGTATTTAGGAGAAGAGTAATAAGAGTTGAGATGATGGAGGCTGGTTTTAGAGGCAGCAAGAGATATTTCTTGGGAGACAGTAAGGATCAGTTGTCCATATGAGTCTCCAACTAACTGAAATTAGTCAGCTCCAGATTATTTGCTCACTTTCTGCTTCCCTGTTTTATAATGCTTCATAGCTTCTCATCCAGATGAAGACATTTTTCAGCCTCTCCTTGTAGGCCTCAGGTAGCTGGGTTTTTATTGTCTGATAAGTGTAATTGAGGTTCTGTCACTCTTGTCCCCTGTATGTGTTTGGCAGGTTTAAATCTACTGAAAAATCTTAAGCAAGTTTCTAAGCATAGTTTTTCAGAGGCTTTATAACTTACCCAAATCTGGGTTGTTCTGTGTGAGTAGGAGAAAAATCCATAGCAAAAAAACCCTCCTGCTTTTTGCTTCTATCAAGAACTTAGTCAGCAATTAGTATACTATAACCTTTTAAGAAAGCCTTCTTTAATTCTTTTCAGGGATATGTGTATGTTTTCTTCTAGGTTTCAGGGGTTTAAGATATGGCTTAAAACATTCTATTTCAACCTTATTATTTTCTCAAGATAGATAGTGCTGTCCTTTGTACACACTGTGCCCCAAAAAGTGGTGTCATGCAAGGAACATTTCAGCCAAATGGACATGCAGTCTCCTGGATAACTCAAAATGGGGTTTCGCAACATCTTACTAATTGGTCTAGGGAAAATAAATAATTCTAAGTTGCTGTGGAAACTTCTGTGTTGTATTAATGAGATTTATTTATTATTTTACTAGGGAAATATTGTATAAACAATTGAGGAGTTGATATTATTTACTTAAACTCACTGTTTTCTCTTTTTAGATTCATCTGCATTTATCCAGCATATTTGAATAACAAGAAGACAATAGCAGAAGGAAGAAGGATACCTATAGACAAAGTAATTTTGTGGGTGACAGGGAAATAAGATGTTTTGTTTTGCTATGCAGTAGTGTGTAGAGAAATGGAAAATAAATCTCAAAGCAGGTGATCTTTCTTATCCCCATGGCAAGTAGCTCAATAATTGGAAATTACAGTGTATTTGAAGATGACCTAGTGTCAGCATGTGAATTTGGTAGAAGAGCAGTGTGTTTAAGTGTCTGCTTTGTTGTGAGCAGCACCTTTGGCAACGAGGTGAAATAATGAGAAACTTAATGCGCTTAACCTCCTACATAAGTAGTTTGCCAAACTTGGAAGTGATGCAGCAAAGAATAGGTAGATAATGATTGTTTGCTTGGTGACTGACTATACACGCCTATGTTCTGTGCCCTGTCCCCTTTCCTGCTGTCAAAGATAGAAGTTAGAATGCATGTGGCACATAGACTTGGTAGTCGTTATTGCTTTTAATATGTCCAGAAATTGTCTCAGTCCTTTATAACAATTTTCACAAGCAGTGCTGGGAGTATAAAGGGTTTTTCTCACTGCTTAGGTTTGGGGTGTTCTGATAATAGTTAAAAATATAATTTTCCCTGAGCATGCAGGTTGCCAATCAAAGATCTATCTGTAGGAGGAATCAGCTGCCCTGTACCTAAAAAGTTTCTAACCTTTTCTCCTTCAGTCCTTGCTGTAAGTTTGCTGTTGCTGATTCATGGTTTTTGGGGTTTTTTTGTAGATATAATAGATGTCACTTCATTTCAGTTCTTTTTCCTAAGCAGTTCTTTTACTTGCTCCCCTGTTGTAGTGAATTCTGTCTCATCTGCTTCCTGTTCTACTGATGTCTTATCTCTTTTTTTTTTTTAATATTTTCTAGACTGTAGGGGTGCTCACAGATTACTTCTACAGCAGATTTTTCATCATTTGAAGTACCTTCTCTTTCCCCGTCTCCTTTTTCTAGTTATAGAGTGGGAAAGTGCTAACTATTGCTGTATAGGTAGTTCATAATTGAAGATTAATTAACTGTAATACATTGTTTCAATAGGCTGTTGAAAATCCCACATCTACAGAAATCCAAGATGTCTGTGCAGCAGTTGGATTCAATGTGCTATTAGAGGTAATTAAAAAAAAAAACACAAAAAGCCTTGCAAACTTGTTATGTGTCTCTGTTCTTCTTTCATTGTATCTTTTCTTACAGACAGGATAAATTACAATTGAGCAGGTTTTGTTATCAGACAAGATACTTGCTTCCTTGGGTAACAACTTACCATAACGGTGAAGTAAATGTTGGAAAACTGTACAAGGCAGGAATAACCCAGATCTCTGAGATTATGCCACTTTTGAGCTTCTAAAAAGATTACTTTTAATTTAACTGTCATTTTGAGAAGACTATCATGGATGCTTAAAAATGTGCCACAATAAAAAACTAATTTTGCAAGGTGCAACTCTGAAAATGAAGCTTTTAAAAAAGCATATTTTTAATGGAAGTTAATTTCCTTTTGGCATGAGTGTCCAATAGGAATAGGATTCTGATGCTTGAAATCTTAAGGGTCCTTTGGAGTTATGTTTTAGCCATCAGATGCTAATTTTTTACTTCAATACCTGCTTGCTCTTTAAATAGTTTAAGTTGGTTACTTTTTTCTTAGGGAATGTGTCTGGGTTTCTAGAGAGGTAATTTTTCAGTTTGTTTTCTGGAGTAATTATTAATTTAAAATACTGTTGAATTTTCTATCACTTCTTTACTAAAGAATTTAAGTTCTCATTTAGGAGTGTGACCGGTATCCAAAAACCAGTACAAAATCACTTTGCTTTTCAGAAGTTGAATATATTGCTGTTGGTGCACACCAGCCTCTGAAATAGCCAGTACCAGTAAGAAATCTGTAACATTTTAAGAAAAATGAGGGCTATGAATGTCCAAAAGCAGTGGGCTTTAGACCGTGACCTACTGACATACTGTCTTTAGGTGTCCAGAAGGGTTTGTGGCTGTGGAGATGAAACAAAAACCTGCATCACTGTGGTCCAGACTGGTGGGGAAGTAGAACAGTCCCTGTAGCAGGTTACTCACTGAATTGTTCAGTACCAGTAGCTGTTTGCAGCAGTGCTTCTGAAAAAGTTACGCTGTAGCTTTGGATGCTACTGCAATGGCTCAATGGTGGGTGACACTGTTGGAGAGCTACAGTTATGGTTCACATACGTTCAGAATTCCAGGCTGCTATGACTTAGATCAATTGCCTGACAAATATTACAGAAAATTATTCCAGTGCTTATTATAATAAGTTTTTCCTGTTGTATGTCAGAAAAATAAGATGTATCCTAGAGAGTGGAACAGAGATGTGCAGTACAGAGGTAGAGTACGAGTCCAGCTCAAACAAGATGATGGCAACCCATGTTTACCTCAGTTTCCAACACGTGAGTAGCGTATCTGGTTAGGCACTTTATTTGTTAATAAAATCTGTTTTGTTATATTACCAAATTGTTTAATTAGTTTTAATATTATAAATTTTATGACTTTACATTAAATCTCTTTGCCTGTGTAAGTAAACCAAGTCAAGTTGGTGGTGTGTGAGCACTGAGCAGAGTTTGCAAAATGCAGTTGTCTTTGATCCTGCTGTTTCTTCAGCACTTGCATTGGAGGGAATTGTGGTGAGTGTTGTGTGATTGCTATGCTGAACAAAGCAGACATTCAGTTTTGCCTTACTGTTTTGCTGACAGTTAAAATGGAGGATTTGATATTAAAATGGCTAACTTCCACTTTTTTCTTAGGGTACACCCGTCAGCTAGGCATAAGTGGGGAAGACAAATTGATAAAATAAAATACTGAGTTCAGCTGAGTTTTCTCTTGGCCATTATAATTAACAATGGAGCAGCTCCCTTTAATTAATAGTAATAGTTCATCTTGAATGACAAGTAATTTAGTCTTTTGCATTTTTCCTGAAAATTAATCACTGTATAAAAGGGAATCAAATATATACCTGAAGAAGTGTATATCTTAAGGAAAAAAACAAGAACACTGAATCTAGAGTAGCATAAGAGTGGTGTTAGTCAGAAGGAGATAATTTTCAACTATATTCCTGCTTGAAGACAGCAGTGCCTTTCTGAAAATGCTTGTAGCTTTTGCCTGGTCATTCTGACCCAGGAATTTTAGGCCACTAAGAGTTGAACGGAAGAAGTAACAGGAAGCATGTAGGTATTTCAGAGATTGTCAGGTTATGTGCCTGATCCTGTCTGCTGTGACATTTATCAGTCCTGCACTTTTTTTTTTTTTTTTAAAAAAAAAGAGGTTGAGAAGAATTTTTCACAAACTTCTAGTTACACAGGCAGAGGAAGCAGGTCTCCTAGGCTTTATATCTAGTTTGAGAGAAATCTAAAGTGGAGCTGAATTTTCTAACTTTGAAAATGATGTGAATGTTCTTAACATTGATCTCTCCCTGCATTTTTAGGTAAATCAGTGATGCTGTATGCTGCAGAAACCATTCCCAAACTGAAAACAAGAACCCAAAAGATGGGAGGTAGTGATCAAAGTCTTCAGCAAGGAGAGGGAGGCAAGAAAGGTAAAGGGAAGAAAAAGAAATGAGCTCACATCTGGAATAATTGCTACATCTCATAGTTCTACTTACGAGAAATATGGATGGACACATTACTTGCTGCAACATTGAAGCAAAAGATAAGAGCAAGATATAAACAGGTGAAGCTGAGTAGAACAGCCTGCTTTTCTTGGAACTGGAATGCATGTACCTGCCTTGCATCTGTGTAACAATAAATCTGTTTTCACGCACAACTTGCAAGTTTGAAGCTAGCATCCACTTTTAAAAGTGGAAAAACATAAGCAAATGGGGTGGGTGGGAGAATTATTATTTCCAGAAAGAATATGCAGCTTTTGATAATAAATATTCTTATGCAGACTAGATAGCTGAAAACTGGTTGCCTTAGTAAGCCATGTATCTATGCTAGTGAAGTGGTTGTCTTAATTCTGGAGAGTCTTCATCACTAACAGAAAAAATGTAAATCAGTGAAGTTATGGCTCTGTAAACTTCCCTTGCTAATAATCTTTCACAACTGTCAAGTGTACTAATAAAGATGACGTGTTAATTTTTAAAAAATGTAATTTTACAGCCAAAAGTGTAAATTTTTCTTCTACAGCCTGTTGTAAAGAAGTCAGTGACATATACTGTGAGGATAATTTGTAAAGTTTTAAGATAATTTGAAAAAAAACAGCTCTCTTTTATGTCTTTTATAATATGGGGAACTATATTATCCTATTTTTGGGTTGTTTTTTGAGAACTTAGGAAACTTGGTCTAATTTTCTCCCTGCCACATCCTATCACACGTCTGAGGCTTGCAGTATCTGGTAACTTAAAATATATATATTTTTTTTATATATAGTCCACAGACAGAGACAGAAAGTTATTTGGAGAAGATGAGTTAGTCAGAACAGCTGTCCAGTAGCAAGGCTCCTTCAACATAATTAAGAAATGTACTGTGCAAGTTAAATGAGGGATAGTTTAGTATAAGGACACTGAAAAAGAAGCAGCTGTACCTGTTTTGAGTTTAAAAACAAAAATCCTGTGTGATTTTTATAATCCTTACTTTATGAAAACAAAGTCAGTTGAATGCTTTCACAGATGACTTCTGGAAGCAAGTAATCAGATTATTTTGATAAATTTTTCATGTGGCAATATTCTCTTCCAGGATTTGTCTATCAGGTATGCTATTCTATGGGATCACCTCTTTCCAATTTTAAAGATAAAACAGCATTCAAAATGTATCTAGACCCTTAATGACTATTCTAAAGTAATGAAACTTGGTAAAGTTCTTGATGATGATATCCCTACTAAAGTTACTTGTGCTTGTAGTTTGAGTTTTCTTATGGTCTTATATTTATTTTTCCACTGAACTGCATCTTTTTCAAATAGATGATGAGTTAATAGTGCTCCTTGAAGTCAGAGCTGATAGTGCAGTGATGTAGAGCCCCTGACTTGTGAATATTTCAAAGTCAGTTGCATTTCCTGTCTGTAATACTTTGTAAGTGTGGTTCTTGTGTTGCATTGTTTAATGCAGGAGGATGTGTTCTCATTCTCACTGCAGTTGTACCAAATCCAAAAGCTGTCATGACAAGAGTTCCTCAGGCCAAGCCTTGTACCAGTGTGAGAGCAGCAGTATCTAGGTTCCCTAAAATGGAATGGCTTAGGAGAAGAAATCCTGTGTTCTAAGGCTGTTATAGTCCATGGACATATACAAATGGCTCTTTTTTTCTGCTGCTGTACCAGTGTACACAAGCTACCTCTGGCATGTCTGTCCTTGAAATCGCACCTAAATTTTGGGTAGTTAGTTAAGTAGTATCTCTGTGAGTTGATGGAATGCAGGGTAGGAACAGCAGGAACAGGTGTCATCTGAAAGTTTTTTGTTAGAGAAACAACTCGACATGGTCAAAGGTTAGTTACATCCACCCTATAAGCTAGGGAAGTACTACAGGTTAGTTGCAGCATGGGGAAAATTACCGAATGAGGTATGCAAGCAAGAGTGGAAGATAGCACTTGTGATACAAAAGACTGTAACTGCCCATGGATTGTGGGGTTCTAATTATTCCTGGCTTCTCCTGAGTGCCTAGTAATTTTTCTGAAACTTTATTTAAAATAGAGCAAGAGTTCTGTGAAAATTTGTACCAGATAACTCAGCTCCCTGATGTTAAGTGGAGGGGAATGATTCCAGCCAAGTCATGATCATATTATGCCCAAGTATTGTAAGTCAGAACTTGAGACTACTGACAGCTGAAAAATGTGGAGGTTAAGTCTCATGGGATATCTGTTTACAGTGTCCAGAAATTAAATATCTCAAGAACTTGTCTGTGCTATGGTATGTAGGTTGAGAAAGAATCTTGGTGGCATTGCTTACCAAAAATTTCCCAAAGAAAGAATGCAGAATAGTAAAGTTCTTTCAATGTGTAAAGATCTTCCAAAAAAAAAGACTGAGAAAGATTTCTGGAAAGAGTAATATTGAGCTGAAATATATAAAACTGTGATTTAATCAGATTACCAAAGAAAGCTCTATGGGTATTTTGGGTAAAGCTCGCATTTTTTAAGCAAAATGTGCACTGCTAGGAAAATGGGATGATTACTACCATTAGGGAGTGGAAATCTGATTCTCCTAACCCCTGCCTGCTTACCTCCACATCTCTAAATGAGTTCATTATTTTGCTTTTTTTATTTCGGTCTGGCTTTAGAGTAAGAACACTATGTGAGCAATATTTGTTCCTAAATGAGGCATCAGAAAGTTAAACACAACTTCCTCTTTCCTGACAGGATTAAGCTTATAAACCAGACTTTCATTTTTGTATTTCTGTTTTTTTAATAAACTGGGTTCCTTGGAGGTTTGAAAAGAAGCAGGTCAGGGTAGTAAGTCTTTCCCCCTTTTCCAGCACATTTCCCTTCTCCCCTTCACCCTCAGTTCCTGGGAACAGGGAAGATGGTTAGAGGCTATTGTGGGACTGGAAGTAGAGACAAGGCTACCATAAAAATACAGAAATACTGCACCTGTCAGTCTCAATGCCATAAAAAAAATTTTTTTAAGGAAAAACTGGGGGATAATAGATGTATTTTTATTTCAAATGTCCTGCTTTTACACTTCTCTGTGAGAATTTGCTTAAGCAGTGTAGTTACTAAAAAGACACTAAGGTCTATCGTTTCCTGTCAGTGGCAATATTAACAAAGATGTGTCACTGAGCAGGAATTTACCCTGCATCTGAGATGGAGCAATATGGATATTGAGATGGTGTCTTTCCAGAAGATACCACTCTAGATATTTTTTATTTTCCTATACTGTTTTTTGGATACCTAGAGAAAGATTAAACATTTGAAATGGACATGAGCTCAGAGTCCTTATAACAAACTTTATAACGATTTCTGTGTAAGCAATAGATGGGAACATTGACACTGGGCATTAAGCAGATCTGAACACACATGCAATCAACAAAGGAATGAGTAAAAATGCAAATTCAGCACTGTTGTGAGATAGATATTTATTCTCTCAGCTGTATGGAATAGGGCATGTAGCTGCTGTAGCAGAAGACAGTCATCATTATTCAGTTCTTAATGTAAAGAAAGTGAGTTTCAAAAGGTTGTTTTCAAATGTGTTTTAACTTGGGAAGTTACAATAATGTATGACCATAGGTAGTTCTCCACTTTCAGCCATGAAGTAAGTTTCTCAAAGAGCAGCTCCGCGAAAAATAGCTGTTCTTAAAAAACCTGCCTGTGTATATCCTGTTCCTTCTGTGCACTTGACAGAGCCTTTCAGCCAGAACTCCCTGTTGGGGCAGCATATACATCTGGGATGTTCTGTGTGCTATCCTGAGAGCATGAAAGATGGTGTGGCTCCCTTGTTTCCTTCTCTATCTGTAGCTGCAGATGTAGCTGTGTGGAATGGGAATGGGATAGAAGACAGTAGAAGATAACAGGAGTAGAATAGTTTTCATTTGGAAGGAACCTGCAATGATCATCTGTCCCAACTGCCTGACTACTCCAGGGCTGACTAGAAGTTAAAGCATGTTATAAAGGACATTGTCCAAATGCCTCTTAAGCACTGACAGGCTTGACTGAAGCCTGTTCCAGTGTTTGGCCACCCTCTCAGTAAAGAAATGCTTCCTAATGTCAAGTCTGAACCTCCCCTGGCACAGCTTTGAGCTGTGGCCACATGTCCTGCCACTGGATACCAGTTATTACCTTCTTCCTGTTACCTACTGGCCTCTATGGGGTTATTTTACCTCTTAGGATAAAATAACCTCACTTTTCAAAGGGTTTTTTTTTTTCCTCTAAAGAAAAAAAGACAATACAAATACTCTTAATCTATTGCTTTATAACTTTTGAGCCTGTCAAGTCAGTTGGTTGCCATGATAAAAAAATGTAGAGGTCTCAATAAGTTCCTGTAAATCATGAAGCTAAGTGGTCAAATTAGAAAATAAGACTATGTTAATGCATCATCCAGTGAAGAAACTGTGTATGTCCCAGATGGGACAAGGAAAGGCAAAGAGAATGAATGTTTATCCTTTCTGTCTGGCAGTTTGCTCTGACCAAACAACATTTATTATGCTGGGTGTTCAGTCAGCACATATGCATCTGCAGAGTAGGTACAGCTTAGATCTGTTAAAATAGTTGCCAAATGAGCTGGCTTGTGCTAAATTCCCTGAAAAGATGGGAGCATTAAATGTACGGCAGCGGCTCGTGTATGGGAGATGGGACGAAACCAAGCCATTGCTTGTATGGGACTTGGGAGAGAGCAGGGGACACTCCTGGTAGGAAAGCCTGCAGTGCAGTGCTATTTCTTATGAAACACTATGTGTCTTTTTTTCCCCCTCTATCAAGGTTTGGGTTTTGTTTGGGGGGGAGGGGTTGGGACAGAGGGGCGGTGGGTCTTGTTTTGGTTTTGTTTTTCCCCAAGTAGCAGAATGTAGACATGTCTAATTGAAGCCTTTAAGAATTCTTCTCCTGGAAGGATGCAATAATACAAAATGGTAGGTATATAAAGTATTTATTTTGTGGAATTCCATAGCCTCAGCAAAAGTGCCAACCACATGGCCTTCTAAAATATGCTAAATTCAAAGAAATCAAATTATTTTTTACATGACGGGTTCATGTGGTCATCTGGTGATTTTGTGTTCTGGAATACCTTAACATTTTATGTACTAGTAAGAAATCTATTCTTCAGAAAGTTACGTCAATGTGGTTGCACAACTGAGGACTCCTTCAGCGGTCCTAGGTTGTTATTCCCTATTTCATTCTGTCACACTGGATGTAGCATTTCTCTGGAAAGACATGACTCAAGTTCACTGTATTTGCATGGTTGCCAAACATGCAGTTTACAGGAAATACTGACAGTCTCGCATGACCTACCAGAATTTGTGATTTCATTTTTTTTCAAACTGTTTCTCTCGCCTTTACATAAGGAAGTTATTGTTGGTTGAGTCTGAAATGGCATTGGACAGTGACTAAGGAATTAGTCATAATATTTTTGTGTTGATTCTTGGACTATTTAAACCAAGTTGACAAGACTGGAATGCAAACTCAAGACACTTTCTTAAATTTGTCAAAATTAAAAAAAAAAAAAAAAGTAGTGAGGGTTTGACCTGACAGATGTTACTCACATCTTGCACTACTTACAAGGATTTCTGTTCTTTGTTAACTAGCTTGCTTTGGTTTGAAGAATTCAGTTTCATTTTTGTATCACTAGTGGTGATATTATTGTGGGGTTTTTTAATTTCTTTTTCTGAACTTTTTTCCTTATTGCTGAGTTTGGAAATGTGTAGGATAAAGCAGAAGAAATGTCCTATTTACACTGGCAACATAACTGTTAAGTGTAACCCCCCTCTGCATGCCAATGACTATGCAACAGTATTTGTTTAGATCATTTATGGAACAGTAGAAAACCAGTGAGCAAGGAAAAAACTTTGTAAACCCTGTGGTTTACCATTTTTCCTCTCTACATTGCGAAAGAACACTAAACCTTCACAATTCCTTAGCTAAGGAAGGCTCTGAAGTCTGGAAAGCTGTGCTGTATAGGCAGCTGCTTGTGGTGCTCGCTGTTGAGAACAGATCTGTATTCCAAACTCTTCTGTTACGGCCTGATGCTGAGTTGCACCCCAACATCCAGTCATGAAGCAGAAGTCTTTTCTTCAGACTTTTAGAGAAGTTTCTACTAGTTCCACAGTAATGAACTTTGGGTAAAAAAATATCCTGTAAAGACCTTCTGCCTTCTTAAAGTAATTAAGTTTTCAGTGTTGAGGTATGAGGTTCTTAAGAAATGCCGAGACACCACACCGGTCCTGAAAGAATCTCTTTATTGGTGTCCATTTTTATTTAGCACATTACAACTTCAGCATAGACATGGAGCAGATGTGTGTACCAACACTGGCACATAAACGTTGTGAAGAAGACTTTGAGAAGAGCACTGATCTGTGGGGCCAGCCCAGTGGAGTTACTTGCAGGAAAGAATAACCTGCTGCAGAAATTCAGTCATTTCTACTTGAATCACAGCAAACAATCAAGTTCTGTTAACAACAGATGGTAGTTCTACTTCAAATAGAAATCTGACAAAGGAGCACTGAATGTAGTTGCTGGTCAAGAAATATCAAGTTGTAAAGACAAGAAGTTGATTTAAAGCCTAACTTAAATTCTAAGACACTTACCTAGAAATGTTTTATCCCCATTAATAACAGTGGAAGAACTGTTGAGTAGTATGAGAAATGAAAAATACGTTCTGTCTCTACTACAGACCTCACGAGGCTTGCAAAGTCCAAGATTTATCAACAGCCTTTAGAAAAAGTTACTTAGGTAGTACTTTGTACCTAAATCAAATAACTATTAAGTATCTTTATTTATTACTTATTATTTCAAGATGTGAAACAATTACACAGGCCACATGACTGCTATATACACAGTTGATAGTGTTTAAAAAACACAGCTCTATGATTTAGCACGGCTTACAGAAAAATTCAGTGGGTTTAAGAGGAAGACAAGAAATTAAATCACTGAAATGGTGCGTCACTTCAAACTTTTTACTCGCTTACATCTACAACTTTGCTGTAAACTTTAGCCTCTTCAATACATCTGCTCATAAGAAAAAGCTGTAATGGAATCATTAGCTGTGATATTTTACATTTTTCCCTTCAAATGACAAACTGCACGCTGTCCTACAGCAAATGAGACACAGTGGGTCTCATACTTCACTATCCAAGTTGTCAGCTGTAAGGGCTGTGTTTTCCAGCTTAAAGCCTAAAATGCTTTCTCTTCATACACTTTCACATCTCTTAATACGTCTCAAATTTAAAACTGACCTGCTAAGTTGCACCATGTGCTTCATTCTTGTGCAGTTCTTGCATCTGAAAATTTACTGTGAATGTTTATATACCAACTGGTTGCAGAAAGCCAAAAGACTTCAGAAGTCTATTTTAAGATTAAAACTTTGAATTCAAGATTGTGCATCAAAAATCACTTTTTTTCTTATCAAAAGCTTAATCTTACCTTCTGCATGTTCTGTGAGTTAAGTACTGTCATAGCATTACTGTAGGCTACAAAGAAACATCAGCATGGAGATACAAACAGGGAAGTTTCAGTAACTCATGATGAATTTGTCAAAAGTAATGTGGTGTGAAAGAATGAACACTGATTCAGATCTAAAAAAAAAAAAATAATTCTTTTCCATGATTGAATTAAAAAAAAAAAAAAAAAGCCTTTATTCTCTCAACAACTTTGGTTGGATTCTGACTGATTGGTCAGGAATATACAAATCTCTATTCAGGAAGTTTCAGTGCTTGTGCAAAGCTGTTCTTAGTATAGTCAAGTCAGATGAGCAGAAAAAGCTCATGGAGGGTGTAGTCCATCCCATTAATGACATAGTTCTGGGCACTGACACCCAAGGCAGTTAATATTTCAACAGGACTTCAGGAAAAAGTGTTGGTAATGGTATCACTCCTTAGCGAAAGGTGGTTGGTGCTTTTGAGTGTGACCTTAAAAGGCACTCTAATGATTACAACTTTATTTATCAAGAAGAGGCAAGCAGTTGTACTTTAGTCATCTTAAGCTAATCTTGGGCAATTTAATGCATCCATTGCTGGCAAATTACTTCACGCTAATATAAGCTTGATCATTTAAGTTAACTCTTTCCTGTGTTTAGTATCTATCCATTTAAGAATACACACACTGTACCAAATATTGTGTTACAACAAAACATGCAACAGTGAATAATCTCTATCATCTGGTGCCAACATGTAATTTCATTGTTTACAACTTTATTGGTAGGGAATATGTCCGTCAGGCCTTCTCTCACAATAATTCCCTGTATATTCAGGAAGATCCATTCAGCCTAGTATTTTCCTTATATAACAGCTTCATGTTACCAGATGCACCACAAAGTGTTAAGAGTAATTACATACACAAAGAGACAACTAAAGTGCAGAGCCTGCGGGATATATACTTTTTATTTATGTTACTGCAGAAAGAAATAACTGAAAGATTTCTTCTGCATGAAGATGAATAAAATATTTCCATTAAGCTTGAGATGCTGCCCACTGCATTGCTTTTAAATAAAAATGCTTACTTTCTACACAAACACAGCAAAGTAGTAAGCAAACTTACACCACATTCCTTTATCAAAATGTTTCAAAGGCAATATTATTAAAATTATACCACAGTTCCCAGTAACATCAAGCTTCATAAAGGAGGTGGTAGGGAAACTTTGTCCAGTTAGTTTAAGTGCTCTTCTTTTCTTCACCCAGTAAATTCACTGTTGCTTTCTTGGCTGCAGAAAAATAAAAGTCAGTTTAATCTTAGACGCCTACAGACTAAGTGGCTTATTCACTGTTCTTGAGCTGCACAAAAAAAATAATTTTAGGTCACAAGAGAAGGATCACAAAGTAATATCATAGCTTTTGTATACACATACACACAGTCATAAAACTGATCACATAAAGATTTTTAAAAATAATAAGCAAAGAGCAGCACACTAAACAGCACAGACTGACTTACAACTATTATATCAATAAAATAGAGCTTCTCATAGTGTTTAGGACATACAGGTTTACGGCTAGAAATATACTACCAAGCTGATGAAACAGGGCTGGAATAATGCTGATGTGTGGGTGTGTACATGCATATGTGTGTGCATGATTTCTTAAAAAAATGTATGTATGTGGAAATCTTTATATGGAAAAATAGGAAAAAGAAAGAATAAGTATGGAATGAGGACAGCAAAATCCCGTGTGCAACGTTTTAGAGTATGAGGGTCCACTATAAAATGCAAAGAAATAAAAGCAAAAATTAAGCAATCTACAGGCTGCAATAACATTTATTCTTACCAAATAAAAACCTAAGTAATTTCTTTAAGAGTGGACTCAGGATTGTTTGATCTCCAGAGGAAGGAAAAGTACAAAAATTATAGATGGAAGAACTTAAATTCGTATGTTGCTGTTTATTGGAGTTGAAGGATTTGCTTTACTACGCAATTGTCAGCCCTCCTGTACTACTAGGTATTTGAGACGGTATTTTAGGAGATTAAAAAATACACTGAAAGAATAACTGTATTTATGGACGGTATCTTGTGAGGATGTTGGGACCTGCCTCTAGAGAGAATGTTTATTGTGATATATGTGGTGGGAAGACACAGAAACTAATTAGCCATTTCTTCCACTCAAAAAGCTTGCACTCATTCCAGCATAACTGCACTCCTAGAAAGTACAATCCACTGCAATCCTCTTTTCCTGGTACCTTCACCCAAATTTAACTTCTCCATTATAACTTAGATAGTCTTCTTACAACTTTTTTTCCCCCAAATGATGAATATTAACGGTAATATTAGAGTTGCCCAGGGGAATTCCTCCTACTTGATGTGATTAGTGAATGGTCTTTTCCTCACCTTCTTTAGTGATGGTATCTGCAGTCTCTGCAGCCTTGTCTTTCAGGTCTTTAACAACACGGTCAAGCTGAGCTTCATGCTTCAGGAAGAAAGGCCGGATAATTCGATGATAGAGAAACTCTGCCCCATTAGAAGGACTTGGAGCCATGCACCACAACAGGAAGCCACACTACAAGGAACAAGAATATCTGCATAGGTAAGAGAAACGAGCAGGAGACAAGGTGTAGCATGCCTCTCTCTAACTCTGCCACAGACTTTATCACACTTAAAACAGTATGTCATCCCCTTCGTTTGGTATGGACACGGTCCAATAAGTATGTACATCAGTGCAGTTATACAGAGTGGATCTTTATACTGGAATCATTTCATGGATACTGACAGGATACAGGAGGGCTGTACCATTAAAGCTAATCTCATAACAGGTGTATCAAGATTGCATGTAGTTTTGTTTTGTTTTTTTTTTTAAGGTAGAAGTATAGACAAAAAATTAGTGTCTCTGCCTACTTCTGATCTGTGTTGCAGAGGCCTGACTGAAGGTCTAGGTTTGTAAATCACTTAAATCCAGCCAAAACGTATCCCTGTCCTCTCTGCTTCCTTGCTTTGAAAACGCAGAGAGGGAAAGAATAGGATCATGTGCATCCCAGAGAGAAAGGGATAAGGAGGAAAGCTATATCCAAGCTACACATAGTGCACGGACCAGGGTAATGCTTTTGGATTGCACAATTTAGGTATAGCTTTCAGAGCACAATCTGCATTCTGGGGAAAAAAAAAAACAAACACCACCACAGTGTGTGGGGTAATCTTTCCTCATCTTACAAAGGGGATTGGAAAGACAGCTGTTACATGTATTACAAATATCTGTCTTTACAACTGAAACACCTTTATTTGGCTTCAGTTCCACTGTCACAGATAATACAAAGACAGCTATGCAAAACAAGATCAAAACATTTAAGGGACCGCAAATGCCAGAATTCGCTTGAGCTCTGAAAGTATCTATAAAAAGATTTTACACGATAAAACTGCAACAAAATTAAGCAAATTTTCTCTGCCAACTGTTCTTTCCAGACACAACTAGAACAATATTATTGCATGTTAAAACCCTTTCCAGAAAATAAAGGCAGAACAGCTTTTCACAGACCACCTTTTCTTAAAACAGAAAACAAAACCACCCCAGACTCAGCTGAAGTGTGCTTTGTTTTCATGTTAGACATGATTAAGTGTTGGAGGATTCCCATATATTTTTGGAGGAGGAGGAGAGAGGGAGAAAACACAACAACAACAAAACATTAACTCTTCCTCCTGAAAAAAAACCCACCACACAATTAGCAAAGTTAGGCACCAAAAATCAAACTAATAGTTTAAACTACAATAAACCATAAGCAACTTAAGAGTCAGCATTTAAATACAGTAGCGCTTATTTAAATAGCTTAGATTTCAGACGCCTTCCACTCTCACAACAGTATCTACAGCAGCCAAAGAGGTTTCAATGCATGTACTAGAGCTTCTGAAAGTAATTTTAAAAATACAAGCAAAGTTTCTCACTTATTTATGAGGCTTTCAGTACACTGCATAGCAGAAAAGCATTTCCTAGAAACTAATTCGATCACAGTATCCTTTCAAAATTCCACTGTGCCTAGGGAGACTTTTCTGTTTCCTTTTCTTCCTCTCGTACTTTTGATTTCCCACTGTAAAAGTGCAAAGACAGAACTACATCCATATATTTGTTTTGGTATTACATAAGAAACTCCTAAATAACAATTTGACCATTACAAGGTGATTTAAGTCAGGAGAAGCTATTTAAAAAAAAAAAAAAAAAAGGTTCTGATCTGAGTTTAACAAAAAGGAAAAAAAAAAGATAACAAAATCACTTTTCAATTATGAAAAACAGTCTTCTTCAGGCAAGCCTTCCAAGTATTTTGGAATATCTTCACTCTATTCTTTTCTGAGATGAGGGATATTGAGATTGAACATTCTGTAGGTTCTGCTCTTCATACCTGTGAAATTTTGGCAGGGCACACCACAATAAAACTGATCCCTTTGATGCACATCAGTCGAAGAAAACATCTCTAACCTACTGGTTTTGCGGAGATTCATAATTCCTTTTTTCTTTAAGGCCTCTTCTCATTCCCCTTGCCCTAGAGAAAACCTGTTATGATATATTTGGAGCTGGAGAGGTACCTTGACAGGCTTTCTCTTTGAAAAGGATCACTGATTCCTGAGGATAACAACTGCCCTCTACAGAAGATTCTGCCAAACCAGTTTATCATCCCTTTACATAAGCTTTAAGCTTTTTTCTTTAAACCACTTGGTCGTGATGTCAGAACAGAATGACCTAAAGGAGTGTTTTCCCAGAAGAGAAAGACAGGTTTTCAAAGTAAAGTGCCCATCAGTGAGAATGTCTACCAGGAACATTTCAATGAATTAAAAGAAATTAAAATTCAACATGCATAAAACTTGGCACCATTAAGCAGCAACTGATTCAGTATCATTAAGCATGGTCAAAGAAAATAAAAGCAAAAAGTGATAGAGTATCAATTTTCAAAAGCTTCTATTATTTGGAATTTAATGTAACAAAAAATAATAGAAAGGTACTATCTTATGTTGTTATCTTTGATTAAAAGCTGAAAAGTATAGTGATTTTATTTCCTTTCAAAGCATAACTGGCCAATTATTGATAGTTATTTCACTGGTCTCAATATAGAAAGATGTTACTTAGTTCTCCTTTGTTTTTGAAAATCCCTCAGCTCTAAGTCTAACTTTCTCTGAAACTAAAAGAAACTGAAATTTGGCCTTTTCTTGCCTAAGAACATAAATTGTCATTTTGATTTTACAGCTTTGTCCCAGTCTAGTCAATAAATAAATCTTTTACAGTTATAGATTTGTTCTCAAATACCAATTACTTTTGAAATGTACTGAAACAGACGATTATATACATTTTCTAGAGAACACATACCAAAGCTGCAAGTCTCAATCTTTTCAAAGCTTGAGAATGTCAGACTGCTAACTCAGTTTATTTTTCCCTTGTCTCTCATGAAACTGAACTAACATAGACTATTGTCTGTGAAAAGGTTCAGAAAGTTCAGACTGATAAAATTGTTAACTGGAAAAAGATTTACTAAATTCCTTGTGACTCTCCAGACCAGCCAGAGGAGGGAGTTGAATTTGTGCAATGGATCATCGACTTTCTTAGGCAGATACCTGGGCTGGGTCTAACTCACTTGGATCTGGTGCTAGTAGTGGCTGTTCTTGCCCTTGTAAGGGACCAAGGGAGAAAGTGGTTTGTTACAAAAGACTGCAATTGCCCATCAAAGGCCCTGGTAAGGGATGAAAGGCAATTGTCTGCTGAAGGCCTTGTAAACACATAGTTTGTCTCAAAGGCTGTAATTGTCTGCCGAGGGACCGCTAATCCTACTCCTTGCAGATAAGAGGAAGTGTGTAATGCACTGAAGGACTTAAGGCCTCACTCACTCCCTTGCTAACAGATCAACTCCCTTACAACCAAGAAGCAAACCTTGACCTCCCTCACCTCTGAGACACTAAAAGGGAAAGCTCAGCTAAAATTAATCTAATACAGGGTCTTTGTGACCACCAACCCAATTGGCTGAAAGCATTAATGCTGCCCTCTCCCACCTTACGCATGTGCAAAAAGATGGTCCTTCCCTTGCAAATTAAGGAAACATCCCTTGCTGCTTCCTATACAAATCAAGGAGACACCTCATTTTTTCCTTATGTTAACTGAGGAAAATTTGGTCAGAACTTTTGTCTATAAAAGATGAATAAAAATGGGAAGCTGTGTGCCCAAGACCATTGATCGTCACTGGATCAAAAGGTGGAGATATCTTTCTGAAAACTTTTCCTTTCCCTTTTCTCTTCAAGTATCTCTCTCTCTCTCTGTCTCCAACTATATTCCTGGCACATAAGGGTAACATCATTACAAGTTTTTTTTAGTATCAATAAGTGATTGCAAGTTTTTAGTGTTAAGTGATTGCAGGCTTTTGGATAGTGGTTGTTAGTTGTAATACCATTGTAGTTCTGGTATTGTTGGTAATTGTGATGTTGTTACATCATTGGTAGTTGTCACATCGTTGTCAGTTTTAGTGTTGTCAGTAGGAGGTGGTATTGTTACACAGTTTCTTTGCCAAGTCATTTATCTTTTGTAATTCCACTACGTTTTACATTTTACAACAATTTTAATAAAGTTGTTCTTTACTTTAATTGAACCTGTTGTTGTCTTCAGCATTACCACGCAGATATCCAAAATAAACCTCCCCCTTATCCACCAAGTGGGACGGGACAGCCCTGGAAGCACAAAACCGAGTACAGCTGGGTTTGCCACTACAGCACAGAAGCAGCTGAGAAACACAGCACGCGTGCCCATGGCCAGTTCCAAGCTTTTACAGACATTTGGCATGTCGCTACACTCACAATGACAACTCCTCCTGCTTCATTTGACTGAGTGCCTGGTAGCAGCAGTTTGCATAACATACTCAGTGCGACACATCTGCTAGGAGTTCTGTTCAGAAATAGTATTCTAATATTTCAAGACAGAACTGTTAGTAGAGTCCGAAGTCTCCTTCCCTTCCCACTACCAGTAATACTCCTAGGATAACTTCTAATATTTTCACTGACTACAGTACTGTAATACCTGAATGCCCAAGAAAAACACATCACATACACATGAAATCATGAGTTGCATGCATGTTCTGTGCTTCAAGACAAAAAAAAAAAGCAAATAAATAAAAAGTAAGCATTACAAAAAAACCCACAAAGTTCAAGAAATCTCAAGACAGACTTCAACTGGAGAACAAAAGTATATGCAAACATTATAACACATATTCAGAGGAGTTCTTGAATATGCCTTTCATCAACCCAAAAAAACTCCTAGTGTGCTAAAAACTTTGAGGTGACAGAGCCTACACTGTGGACTCAGGGAAACACAGAAGCAGCTACCATCCGTGTCTCACCCCTGCCCATCAAGGTATATAGAAACAGTGAGCAGCTAAAACTCAGTCTGGAGTGGAAGCTATAAGCTGTAACAAATAAATTGTGAACATGCAAATTTAGCATATTTGGAAAATGAAAGCGAGCTTGAAATTTGCATCAATTACATATCTGGTCTTCTACAAAAGAGAGATGGAGACATCACAAAGTATGCTTCAAGAGGTTTCAGTCGCGGATGGACTGAAAGTTGGAAGCTGCTTCCTCCTTTTGCCCCCATGGAGTACTTTCCATCCTTCCAGTCAGTCAGCAATGCTTCCTGATTCTCAGCCAACACCTTCAGTCTGCCTTTTTATCACTGAAATAAGCCTCTCCTCCTACCCACTATTGAGAGTAAATACTTGACTTCTCTGTGCCTTCAGCAGTTACTGTAAAAAGCTGTGCATTTACCATACTTTCTTCCTGGTGTTTACTTCTGTTAAACTGAGAAAAGTACATTACTGTTGATGCCACAACTGTATGTAAACGTGGTACTTCTGATACAGTATTATCAGAACCATCTGTAGCTCGTCTTTACATCAAATTTCAATTGCACGCTCTTCAGACAGAGTGCTGTGCTGGCACGAAGAAATCATTGCCACGTCTTTTGCCACCAAGAAGTTTGAAAAGAAGCTCTGAAAATGCACTGTATGAATTAGAACAGTGAGTGCACACCACTGCAGATGGGTAAAGTAATAATCCTGCTAAACTGCAAGGTGAAGTTGGGGATGTGAAATTACTGCATAAGGAGTTAAGAACAGATTCTTCCAGTGTCATAAGCAACCCTTTTGGATCCTATTCAGATCAGATGAACTTGCACTTTCATCTCTATTTCACTTGGTCTTCATATACTAAAACAGTAAAACTTTCACATATCTGTTACCCATGCTAAACTTCAGAATCAGCAGATTCTTCTTTAACACTCTGCAAAAACATCAAACTTAAAATGGAAAAAAGTATTTTCATTTTTGATCAAGGGAAAAAAAGGGGGGGAAGAGAGAATTAACTTTGCGAGACAGACCAGAAAATTTTTAGTTTGAGGCAGTAGTTCAAATATGTGCTTTTTCTTGGGGAGCTGGGAAAATAAGTGTACAAATGACTGCACAGTTGATGCCTGTTAAAGATTCAAAAGGCACAAAGCAGGACTATAAACAAGCTGTCCAAGTCAATTTTTGTCTTCAAAATACAGCATTTCCTGGAAAATGCATTTGGCAACATTAGATCTTGCTGTTAAAATTCTAAACAATCCCACCACAATGGCTGGCAGACAAATTGTTTCAAGAACTTTATCAGGGTTTAAACCAGGATAACAGAACAAAGGAGAAGGAACAGAACAGCCCCTTGACACAGAAAATAGGTAACAGTTCTTGAAACTAAACAACTGACTCTCCAGCAAGCTAAAATGTCTTCCATCCAAGAGCATACACTGTAATTGGCTCTCTCCTAGAATAATTTAATATGCTAATATCGATTGGCAAGACAGTCACACCTTAGCTAGCAAACAAAGCTTGGAAGAGATTAAGCAAATCATTGCTGGTAGTTGAAGCACACTAACAAATACCTATTAGCGAGAAGGTCTTCTGATACCTGCCATTTCCTCTCAGGAAAGTAGTCTTAATTAAAAATTAAGTCTGTGTGATTCAAAGTATTTTTTTGTTGCAATTTCCTTATTTGTTCCCAGTAACACTGAAGTTAATACTTCCTTTTGCTGCTTTTGCAAATTTACTCCCCACTTTCACTAACGCGCTTAAAGCAAAAATGAAGCCACTCTGCAGTGTTTACTACATGCTGTCATTTTGCACAAATTTTCCTGAACACCAAGACAAAGAACTGTCTTTCCATACACCATCTCTTCCTTCCTAAAACATGGCAGATCTTTTCCTGCCACCCATGCCAACTTCCCCTCTTGCTACACAAAACCATCAGCTGTAAACAGACCACTTTCATAGAGCTAAATTACATGTAACCAGTACCTAAAAATAAGGTGTGAGCCAGGAATGATTCCAAGGGAATCTGTTGTCATCTATCTACTCTTGAAGCCATTAAATGAGTTATTTCAAAAGTCTCATTTTAGGAGAGGGGACACATGAACTAACATACCTTTATCATGTAGTAGAAAGGGAACCAGGACAGAAAGATATCAGAGAAGAATTCCGCTATGCTGAAAACGCCATACACAACCCAGTATGTCAGCCACTGCGTGTCATCATCTTTGTTGGGGCTTTCAATGGCCTTGATTCTGTAAGGAAAACAGAAGAAGTAAGAGTTCAGTAGCACCAGTCTCATCTGTAACGGTGAAGTTTTTATGACTCAGATTTGTTGTTACATGTGAATCCCTGTGATTTAATTTCTCTATATGCTCTACAGAAGAGAACTAGGTATTATCTATCATACAATGTAATGTGCACAAGATCTTTGGACAGCAAAGGTTTTCCCCACATATAAGACTTCAAAAAGAAAAAATACTAAAGCTATTTCTAGCTCTGAGATTACAAAAAAAATCCCAAACAAAAAATGTGAGCATCCCCACCCTATTCATGAGACAGTTCATGGGACAGGCAAGAGAGCAGATAATCTCTGGCCAGTTCCAGAAGACTGTTGTACATCAAAGTACTCGAGATTTACATAACAGCTAACCTGAGCCAGCCCCAGCCTGTGCTGCACCTACCAACTGGGCTGTCGGCCGTGTGCTCTGTGGCACAAGTTCCCTTTCCACACGACAAACAGCCAGCTCACTGTAACAGAGAAGCCTACAGGCAGCTCCCACTGGGTACCAGTGATCACACCACCTCCCTAGCCTTGCCTTTTATCCAACAGTGAACACACACACTTCCTCTCTGACAGTGGAAATGACGAATAGAGTCACTGTCTTGAAAGAGAAATCCTACAATAGCTCAAATGATCAAAACGGGGTAACGCTGTCTACAGGTGAGGTCTGCACAGTGTGCTGTGTGTGGATCAGACGCCCATTCAGCGCTGCACAACTTGGGGTTCCCAGCCTCTACAGGAACATAAGATTCACTGTACTATTACTTGTTTCTTTGTAGTGTTAGCTTTAATAATAACATTTTAAGTTATGCTTTACAGAATCTGAATGCCTTCCTTACTGGCATCATAACAGACCAGCACCTCCCAGTGCAAATAGCATCTACATTAGAATCTTAAACATAGTTCAGGATTTTGAAGTGAATCTCAAATATCTTTACCTATAATGTATGTGGCACTAGATTCCTCTCTGAAAAGGTAAACCGTAAGATTTGTGCTAACCACTAACAAGCGCTTGGTCTACAGAAGTGGAAGAGATCCACCACCCTCCCACCACATACAGTGAAGACTACATATCTGCATCGCCAATTGTTTTGTTCTATAAATCCACTCCTACAGGACTTGCAAATTCTGACATAGACTACGGTATTAAGAACAAGGGGCAGCAACCTCTAGTAAAGTCTTGGGCTTCCTGCATGACTAGCTGTGTTTTTTTTTTCTCCAGCTACTAGGAGAATGCAGTTCAAGTTTATACAGTTCCAAAATGGGAAGCTGAAATAAAGATATCAATGTGCTTTCTTCAGTAAAAGTAGTGGAGACTCAGGACTCGCTAAATTCCAGATTAGCACTGTAAGAAGTTTTAAAAGGAAATGCTAGCAACTAGTAAGCCTGCTAATGTGAAGATTAAGAGTATTAAAAATAATTTGTCCTCTCTATTCATGCCATAGAATTAAAATCTGTAGACTCAGTTTAATGAATTTAGTTTTAATTCTTTTATAACCTATTCCCTTAATACCAGCTATATTGTTGCTGAAGCAACATCTGTGGGATATATTAAAAATGCAAAGTTGTCTTTTAGTCCATACAAAAGATTGAGAGTTAGGGAGATTCACAAAACAGAAACCGCTGGCTGTGAGTACATTTCCTGGTTTGTGAAATGATAAACCCTTTGGACTCTGTCACTTCCTAGTTCTGTAAATTAAGGTGGGGAGGCAGGGAGGAATCAATCATGTGACATGCCTTATGTTTTAGCAAAAGCACTGGCAAAGCCATCACATGCAGACAGAATTGGTGCAGCTACTGGATTGAATTACTTTGAAATGCAATATGAGGATCCGATACTTAATTTATGCATTATTTCCATTAGCGTTTGTGGCAGGGGGGGAGGGGGGCGGGGCAGCAGGTCCTGCCACGGGGAGAGGAACAGCCCTTGCCCTACCCCACCACCGTACAGAATAAAGCACTATTATTGACGTACTGCACCAGCACAACTGGAAGAACTGGTTTTCCACATGTGGGCAGCAGCAGGTTTGCTTACTGCTGTTCCTGACACCAAGGTGCTAGGAATACAGTAGTCCAGGCAGTTTGCTCCAAGGCAGTGCCAACTCCAGGTGCTCCTGCCCTCCCATTCTTAACCACATTTTTTTCTATGCCTGCACCTCTCAGTTATTCTAATACTGCCAGGTCAGGGTGTCCTGTAAAAAAACCCAAACAACCCAAACCAAACAAACAACACGTGAGGTAAGGGAGAGGGCTACTGCTCCATCTTCAAGGTGTGAAGCCATACTTCTGGAAAAAAAGTACAACTGACTAGTAGGGAAGTTAGAGTGGCAGACAGATGGAGGAGAGAAAGAAACTAATCGCAAAGTTTCTCAATGTTAAGGAAAACTTGCTGTTGAGTTCATTGTATTAATTTCTCTGATTCTGCTGACAAGTTCTCCATCAGAGTCATTCAGGGGAAGGCTTATTTTACCACAATAAGCACGCTAGCTTACTATTTGTGAGAGTGAAACTGCTAACAGTGTTGCTGTCTTCCAGTCACCTGAAGCCATCCATGGATTTAAGGAAACATTTCTTAATTTTTTTTAAAGTCATCTTAGTAATAATGAAAAACAGTTTTCATGAAAAAGTTTAGAATCCAATTCTGTGGCAAAAGGCAGATGACTTATCATTGTATTAATGAGGCACACTTCATTATATTCTCTCCTGTAAAACTGGATGGCCCACCCACAAAAGCAGTGCCATGGGTGTGCTCCCTTTGAACATTCACCACCTGCTGCCGTAGTTCCTCACAGCAATGCCTTGAGGGGAATACAGGAACAAGACACTTTCATGGTCAGATGGTCACAGGCAGCACCACAAGTAGTCAAAAACCAGTTTGATTTAACCAGCTGAACATATGGTGTTTACCCACACACAGCAGAAAACAGCACATTTCCCCTCCTATAATGGTCTGATCTAGGTAGGCACCATAGGACAAGCTCAGGTGCAGACCCCTACCACACCCACTAAGGTAACAGCCAGCAACATCAGCTCTGAAAGAAGGGCACAAACTGCAATGCCTCCAGTCCCAATCCTATTCAGTAGGAGGGAAGGAAAAAGCAGGATATAGCAGGGCCATTTCCAAGTCAAGGAAAGGCAAGTATTTATTATAAGTATTCTGCTTCTGAATGGGAAGTGAGTCCCTCAGCTGAGATTGCCAGTGGAAATCCGTAGTCTAACTTGTCCTAATAAAAGCACAAAAGTTATCTCCATCCTTTGCTACTTACACACTATTTCAATGCTAAGTCACAGAAAATACTCCTTATACAAGAACAAATAAGTACAGTAAGTTAAGCAGAGTATCTGAACGGAAAGAGTTTTTTCCATTTATAACTATACTCTTTCCAACATGAGAATCACACCCTAATTAGACTTATTCTCATAAGTTATTCTATAAGTTATTAGGTATTATCCCAGTATAATGCCCTGCACAATTACCCTTAGGAGATATGTGATAGTCATTACTTCAAGCCAAGAACATTTTATTCTTCTCCATGCTAAGTCATGAATCAATCAGTCATATTCAAAATGCCATCTCCTTCAATAACTTAAAAGACAGATCAAGAGGCACTGGTACTACAGCCAGCTTTAGGATAGCCTTCTTGTAATGGTTATTTATATGCCGCAAGAGCAAGTAGTCAGTCTCATTAGTACGTAACATTAAGATTTCCTAACAAAGGAAGGAGCATCCAAAGCCTACAGTTTCAGATTTTTAAAAAAAGAGATACTGTCAGGCTTTTGTAAAAAGTTTTTTCTAACACTGATATGACTAAATTCCACGTCAGTTATGTGTAGTAATTACACAGCACAAAGGATTTTATATGGTGCTTACATACTAACTGTAGAGAACTTCAAATAAAGCCTCAACTACTTACAGTAGTTCTCCATGTCAGAGGTAAGAACATCACTAATAATAGCTTCCAGTAGACTGGATGGTAAACATCCATTTATTTTTAAAGATAATTTCTTTTTATTATAAGTTTTTTTAAAAAACAGATGCCTGTCCAGCAGTGAAAATGGCCTGCTGTGAGCCAGCACTGCAACTTTTGCAGACAGATGGGGAGTCAAGTAAAAACCTCATTTTTAGCTAGATCTGTTCCTTGATAACCCTGCTAGCTGGCAGTGAGCAGAGGCTGCCATGCTCTCCAGTGGCCCAGGGCTCAAATCAGCTATGTAGCTACAGTATCAGAGTACTGTCTCAATTTTGACAGTGTGCATCCTAGAATCAGTCAAACGGAACTCTAGATCAACTGTGGTTACTTTATCCTGTTACCTGATAGTAACATACATATACTGGTCTCATTTTAGTAAGCTGCCAAGTTGAGTTCTTTCACCTAAAGCATCTGACTCATTTCAATAAAAAATAAGCTCTCTTCCAAGAAGAGACTGTTACATACAGTCTGAATTAGCTATGGCATAACAAATCATTGTTAAAGTTAACTCACACATATAGTACTCATAGAATAAGCATATTAAGTATACCAGTGATGAGTTCGGTTTTGGTTTGTTTTTTTGTGGTTTTGTTTTTGTTTTTTTTCCAGCTGAGTCTAGCTAATAAAATGTGGACACCAGAAATAAAGAAAGCAGTGCCAAATTTTATTGCTGTGGTCTCATACGAAATGATCACTCAAATCCCTGCAGTTTACAAGGTGTACCTGATGACTCTTGTATAAATAAAGTTGCAATTTTAAGACACAAGATTAGCCTCTGTTAAGCCCAGTGCTCGTGCTGTAGCTAGAGAAGACTGGACCATTCTGTGCATCCTACCTTTAGTTTTCTAATCAGTGCTATACTAAATGAGTAGGCAGGCATATCTGTGACCCTCTTACCCAAGCATATAACTTTTTTTTCCTATTGAACTTAAAAAAAAAAACAAACCCGAAATTACCTATACTTCTAGAGCTTATACTTACTGGTCTGACCCAACTCTTC